GAATTGAATTGAATCTCTGAATTAAATTATGAAACCTACTTCTGTTTTGCCCACTTTGCGTTGTTTGCAGCACATACTGATTTTCCGATCTCACAAAGGAGCTAGTAACTGCTAACTTTGTGGCTAACTTTGGGCTTTTAATTTCTGCAGCTAACTGCCTGCTGTGGTTAGAAACAAGGTTGATGGCAGCAGGAAGGCTAAACTGCCCCAGAGCTGCAGAAATCAAAAAGATGCTAAACTGTTGCATACATCAGTAGAACCTCTGGTGTTGGTGATCAATGTGTGTAGATTTGGCAAACAACTACTTTCACATTAGGAAAAAAAACAATCATCTGACTCAGTGTAAATACCACTGATTAAAGTGTGTGAATGGAATCCTCATCACTTCACAGTTTTCAAAGAGGGAGTTGGGATGGAACATAACCCGAGGAAAAGCCAGAGAAAACCAGCTACTTTTGTGACTGCTGGAAGATGTTAAATAATAAAACTGGGAGCCAGAAACACAAGCTTTGAACCATAGGAATATCCCTTACCTTAAACAGCTTCATGCTTTGAACCACAACTGAGCCCAATCAAGGCCTTATTTTAGATTCATTGGAGCCCTAACATTCGTGAACGTGGGAATCAAAACTCTTCCTGCAAGTCAGTTGCCCTTTGTTTCTCTAGGTGGATGAGTTCATACAGCCTCTGCTTTTCCTACAGATAACTGTGTTTGTAGTTTAAGGAGCTTGTAGCAAAAGGTAAATACTGAAATTTTCTATAAATTATATGAAATAAAGCATAATAGACTTTTTTTAAATGGCACTTTTATAACTGTTGTCTTAACAAACCACCCACTGTGCATTTTTCTCTTTCTATGTACTGCAGAGGAATGGTTTATTTCAGGAGCTTCATTCAGGTTTCAGAATGCATCACAGTACAGAAACAGCCTTAGTGAAGGTTACAAATGATCTTCTTAGCCTTTGATAATCAAGTCATCTCTGTGCTTGTCCTGCTAGGGCCAATACTGCTGACCATAATATTTTATTACAGTGATTAGAGCATGCTGTAGGTATGTGCTGCAGTGGTTTGAATCATATATATCTAATAGACTCCAATTTGTTCATGTAAATGGACACACTAAGGTTAATTATGGAGTTCCACAGGGTTCAGTGCTAGAACCAATTCTGTTTACATTATACATGCTTCCCTTAGACAGCATCATCAGAAGGTATAGCATACATTTTCACTGCTATGCAGATGACACCCAACTTTATCTTTCCATGAAGCCAGATAACACACACCAATGAGTTAAACTGCAGAAATGTCTTAAAGACATAAAGACCTGGAAAATTTGGTTCTCTAGTAACACTGTGAGGAATCTTTGAGTTGTTTTTGACCAGAAGGTCTTAAATAATCATGCCCCATCTTATCTTACAGACCTCATAGTACCGTATCACCCAAATAGAGCACTTTGCTCTCATACTGCTGGCTTACTTGTAGTAAGCCAGGCTACTAAAGCTACTGAAAAGTAGAATGAGAGGCAGAATCTTTCAGTCCCCTCTTCTGTGGAACCAGCTCTTAGTTTAGATTCAGGAGACAGACAGCCTCTTTACTTTAAAACTGTGGTAAAAACTTATCGTTAGAGCTGGATCAGGTGACCCTGAATCCCCTCTTAGTTATGCTGCAAAAGGCTTAACCACTGTTTCCCTCCCCACTCTCACCAAGTAATAACCAAGGGGGTTATCTGATTGCTAAGGTTTTCTCTATATTATTGTAGGTCCTTTACGTTACAATATAAAGCTGATTGAAGAAACAGAAACTCTACCTCTATAAAATGTTCCTTTTATACCCATCATGACTATCCCATTTTAAACATTTGTTTTTTGTGTACTACTGTGAATAAAATATGGATTTATGAGATCCACATGTCATTGCATTCTGTTTTTACATCTCATCCCAACTTTTTTGGAATTGTGGTTATATAAAACATGGCCAAATAAAAAAGCTCAGCCTGCTTAATGCTCCTTTTTCCTGTTTTTTTGGCTCTATATGATGTCAACAGAAACAAATATCTCTAATATGCTCGCCTCAGGCACATGAATCTGGCGGCAAAACATGTGAGCGTACTGCAACAGGGTCAAAGAATGAACATGTGGAGATAGAAATGAGAATAATAGTTCCTCTTTAAATTTTGAGTTGCAATTTAAATTGGTCTCTGCAGATTTTACCCTGGAGTGTTTGTGATCTGAAATTTCCTTTGAAGGAAACTCAACAGTCCTACTCAGAAAACATTAAACAGAAAATGAGCCAGAAGTCAGAACCTGTTTGCAAGACACACATAGTTACAGATGCATACGCAGCATGTGTGTGCATGTGTAAATATGGGTTATATATATGCATATACCAGTGATGGGATTTCCAGCTCATTTTAGAGAACCGGCTCTTTTGGCTCGGCTCACTAAAAAGAGCCGGCTCTTTCGGCTCCCAACTGGCTCTTCAGGTTGTTTTGTTGCTTTAATTAATATATTATTAACAACAATAAAAAAATTACGCACAAAAGGAATTACTAATGTAAAAAAACTCGTGGTTTTATTTATATATGTTTATATATAAATATATGCGGTGGCCCCAAGAGACAAAGCAAGTACAAACTCCAAAACACATTTCTAGCGTTAACTGAACTTCCTTAACAGAGCTACCTAGATCACTTAAATTACATAATTGAAAGCATATGTGTATTGTTTGTGTATTTATACACAAGCACTCATATATATTCAAATAAAAAAAAAAAAGAAGTTCATTTACCTGTTACTACCACACACCAAATCCGGTCGTTGGTACTTCCTGGCTTGTGTAACCACTAGGTAACAAAAGCTCAACACTGCGCCTAGCATCCTGGAGCAGTTGTGTTTTGTATGTGTTTTGGAGTTTGTACGTTCTTTGTCGCTTGGGGCCACCGTAAATATACTTTTATTTATTCACTCCACATAAAATGTAATAAATAAATCATATAATACAAAAACCAACTATTTACATTTCAACTTTTAACTATTTAAATTTTCAGCTTTTTCCTTTTAAACAAATTTAAAGTGAAACAACACAAAACACTGCAAACCACAACACAATTAAATATAAATTAAAATATGAAAACAAAAAGAAGATGCACATTCTCTGTCATATGGGCCTGCATGAATAAACTTTCTGAATCCTTTATCATCCGCAACTGAAAATAGTTGTGGATGATTACTATACCTTTCTAATGTGACGTTGTTGTCCCTGGCTCTCTTTCTCTCTCTCTTTCCCTTCTGCTCTGTTCTTGTGCTGCTTGTGTAACTACCGCCCCTCCCCCCTCATCCCAGCGTAAAGCACAAGGCTCGCGTGCGGAGTGAAGGGGGGAAAAAGTGCGAGAGAGAGGGTGAGAGAAAGGGGGAAAGAAAAAAGAAAAACCGGATGCAATGATTGCAAAGTGCTTATGCTGGTATGGTTTAAGTGTCCTCTTTTGCATTTTCCTCCGCATGACAACATGTACTTATGTAACATATATATTTTTCTAGGCTTGCTTTTAGTGACCATGACGGTCTCAAAGTTCAGCTCGACTTTCATGCTTTTGAACAAAGGCTTTGTTGAAATGTAACCACGTCGACTCACTCTTAGCAGTGCTGCTTTTAAAAACAACTAATTAATTTTTCCAGTCATATGACTGCCACTATCATCAAGTGCCAGCCACTTTGACTTTAATTCAATGTTAAACAGAGAAGTTCATCAGTGTTTTACAACTCTGTTTCCTCCCATTTTCAAAGTTAAAACTTTCAGATCTGGCCTCACAAAACCTTTTTCTTTCTTCCAGTGGAGGGCAAGCAGTTACTAATTATCTTGCACTGCTTTTCATCCAACTATATCAGGTTCAAATGCTGATGCTCACATTTGTGGTGTGCTGCCTAACTCCACAACAGATAGGCCTCAACAACAAAGTGACATAGTTCTTGAGCAGCTTGTTTACCAGACCTGTTTGGCTATACGTAACTCTTCATGTTAAATCTTCAAAGCAAATCACACTCTCCTAGGTACAACCAGAAGGTTGCAGGAAAGAATCTGGTGACCGTGATATATTTTTCCTTGATGCCTTGTGTTTTGGAGCCATTCTGACCTCCACATTTCACACAGGATCTCCAGAAGCTAGTACGACTTGGAGCCTCTCACTATGCGGAGACTTTACTAAAGCCATGTCACTGTCTTTCGCTGCTTATGAATATTGTGTAACTAGAAGGTCATACAGATTCAGGCAAATTAGTCTGAATTAGCCTCACCGCTGGACAAAACAGCAACTGCGATAACAGGAACATAAAAAGAAGCACTTATCTAATTCAGGGTGGGTTGGAGCCTATCACAGTTATCATAGGGCAAAGGGTGGGATACGCCCTAGACAGGTCACCAGTATAAGTGCACAGACACAATAACACCCACAGAAATTTAAAATCAATTAACCTAACAAGCATTTATCTGGACTGTGAGAGGAAGCCAGAGTACCAGGAGACAACACACACAGGAACAGGGAGAACTTGCAAGCTCCACACAGACAGGCCTCAGTCAGCCTGATCTGCAGTCAAATCCAGGACCTTCTTGCTGTGAGGGGACTCTACCAGCCACTGCACCACTGTGCTGCTCGGGGAATGTTGTATTCAAATAAATTATATTCGTTCTTCAGATGCAAAATGCCTCTCAGCAATAGAAACATGTCTCACATTGTGCCACGCCAACACACCCTCTGTGCCACATTTAGGTTTGCTGGATCTGGTCACCTTGCTCGGAGCAAACAAGTTAGGGACTATCAGATAAAAACAAACCACCTCAAATGACTCTCCTCTTGAATTCGAGTTAAGTTTCTTGTGCGCTCAACAGAGAAAGTTCTATTTTGTAGGAGTGAGTGGATGATTACCGTCCGGTTTAATCCAGTCACTGGAACTTAAATTATTACAAACCCCAAACTTTCTGTGTATGAAACTCAAAACCACAGTCTGTTTATATAGCAGTCAATTCTGAGTTTTATTGCTAATATTAGCAAAATACACTACATTTGTGCACAATGACACCCACATGAAGATCAAAAACTCCTGTTGAAAGATTAAAAATGCCATTAAAGATGCAAAAATAAACATTCTCATTAATTTACAAGGCAGAATGCCGCAAGATTAAGGCCTCTGTTAGTGTCAATTCACAAGTGCAACATCACTTAAACACTTTCATTAATCTTTCTTTCCACTTAATCCCTTTTTGAACTTCACACTGTCACTCGTAACACACTCGGTTTTCTTTATGCAAAAATCAATTATTATTTAGAATCCTCATTTGTGTAATTAATGTCTTCTTTTTTTCCCACTTGGCTAAACAACTTTACAGATGGATTTTAGAAGGATCTCTGTGCAGTAAAACACTGTTAAATGTTGAATTATATGCATACTAATCCAGTGCATTTAGGTGAAAGAAAATCAGTGACTGTTTTCGCATAAATTAGATAAGAGTGGTTTGAAGCCCTTGCAGAGCCCTCAGCAGAAAACCCCGAAAACTTTGCTGCAGTGATCCAAAGCCTGTTGCTTCTCATTCAGCCGCTGTGCTGAGATGGCGAAGTTTGAGCTCAGTTTCATCACCCCGCAGCAGCGTCTTCACATCGAAATCCTCTCTCCCTGCACCAGACGACCCCGAATTGCCCAGGTGTCCTGTGAGAGAGACGGATTTGAAGGAGAGGTTAGCCACAAAAACAAATCCCTTTTATTTTCCTCTGTTTTAATGTTATTCTAATAGCAAATTTTGGAGTTTACAGGAACAGAAATTCCTTTAGCTTTTCATCAGACAGCTGCTCATTATGAGCCAGCTCATAATAATAGCAATCTTATTTAAGCCGTGTTTGAAAGGTTTAGCAGATGGTGGTTACATGTAAGCCAGGTTTGATGTTTTTTATCTTTGTGTTTACATACAGTAAAATAAATGTGTTGTATTCTGTCTGACTCTGTTGCCAACTTCCTGAAATGTCTGTCAGGTGTTTTGTTCATATAATGGGAAGAATGTGACTTTAATTCAATTTCAGCAGGAAAGTTTCTACACAGTCTTTATTCTCAGGTTGTTTTCTCGTTTAGGGCAATTACATCCACTAAGCCACACTTGATTCTAAAGATGCATTAACTGAGTATCTTGCTGCGCTCAGTTTCTGTTTTATATATATAATGACACGCCAGGTTGCACGCTTCCTGGCACACATGCTAAGCAGAGGCTGACCTCGAGGTAAATGTAGCCCATAACAGGATCTTATAACGGGGGCTTGTAAACGATAACGAGACAGACCAGGGATGTTGTTACCTAACGATGCCACTGTAATTTTAACTTTTTTATAAATAGATTAAAATCATTAAGTTAAGACGTTTGAATAAAGCTCAGGCGATCATTACGTGCATATGTACAAACATTGATGATATGTGGCAGACTACAAAAAGGCTGATTACAAATGTGAAACGTTGATTTCAAAAGATTTTATTTTGAAGGAGCCTTGCATGGACTACATGAGCACAGCACCTGCTTCCTGCCCTGGGCATCACATGTAATTGACAACCTGTGTCTGACTTTGCTTCCAGTTCCTTGTTATGGTTTAACTTTGTTATTACTCCCTCTTTCATTGCCCAGAGCTTTAACGTGGACACTTTCTGGGATTGTGAGCTATCAGTGCTTAAAGCTAGTGATAAATCAACTGTAAACGTATTTATGTGATTAAAAATATAAGGAAAAGCATAAGAGGCTCCTTTTAATCAAAAAGTAATAATGGAAAGAATAAGATAAATGAAGCTTGGATGTACGTGTCTGACCTTGAAAGTGAGTTCATCACCAACAGCGTGCCTCCTCACTATGATCTCCTTCACCTCTTTCTCTATGTTTTCCTGTGTGGTTCCTTTCACGTCAATGTAATAGCAATCACCGCTGGCATAGTGGCAGGAGATGGCCTGTGAAAACACACACAGATATCACACCTCATTACTCGTATGCAAAAAGAAATACCACAAATAATCATGTGGTTGTATGGAGCTAATTTGCATTAGAAAATATCAGGATCTCAGGTGGACTCTGGGTAATGCAGTACCTTGCGGAAGCCCTGTGTCTGGTTCATGCCAGATCCGTGGATGAGCAGTGGGTGGAAGAAGACTGTGTCACCCTTTTCCATTTCTAGGTGCACCCTGGGGTGCTCCGGGTCATAGTCTCGGACTCCATGGTACATCTTGTTCACCCCGCCCTGAGGACACATGCAATTATTTAAACACTCTGTGTGTGTACATCCTAGCAGGCATGACTGTAGCTGTTACAGTGTTGTGTGTACCTCCCACTCAGGATAGTCATGTTCCTGCAGCGTGCCCTTGTGTGATCCTGGCAGGACGACCAGGCAGCCGTTCTGCCTGTTCACAGTCTCCATAGCTGTCCACGCACAGACGATCCGATCGACTGGTCGAAAGGGAAAGTAATGCAGATCCTGATGCATCGGGTGACGGGACGTCTTCTTACCTGGAATGACAGAAGACACGTTAGACATTACGGTCCCAAACTCGTTTTCATTTTATTTTCTTCACACAAATCACACCTTAAAGATACTCTATGTTATGTTTGAGCTTAAGAAATGGATTGATGCTTCAGATAGATAAAGAACTGGCCGTTCAGAGGGAAGATTACTAGCACAGTCTAAAAAGAAAAGCTAATAACAATCAAGCACACATCAAGAGTGTTGATGTAATTATGATCACTGCCACAAGAGGGAGACAAAACTAAGGGACACGTCCAGTTATTACATTGGTTATTATTTATCTGCACAATACTTGTCCTAAAAAGAGTCAGGTACCTAAAAATACTGAGTTTAAGAGTAAACCCAAGAAGTACGCAGCATCCAAATAAGTATTAAGTATTTGTGACTTTGTGGGCCAAACATTTTAGTGAGAATTGAAATACCTGCATCAGGAGGTTTGTTGATCAGCATTGTGTGCATTGCCATGATGTTCGGTCCAATGAAACACTCAACATACTTCAGGATCTGATAAAGAAAAGCAAAAATTTTTGTTCTGATAGTCTTCAGGCTTGACTTATTTCATTGTTTATCAAAAGAAACAAATTCAATGCCTATTCATTTTTTTGTTTGTGAAAAACATTTAGACATCCAGATTAATGATTGAAGTCCATGTAATGTTTTCTGCTTTATCACCTGTGTGATTACTGATAGCACCTCTGTGAGGCACCAAACCCTTTTTATCAGAATTAATTTGGCAATTAACACAGAAAAAACAACCATCCTTTGACAAAACAGTCAGATTTATCCAACTTCTTGCTTCCCCCACTTCCGTACCATTGATTCATTGAACTCTCTGGCAGCTGCTCTATTCCCATGTTGTTGCAGTATATTAATGACTAACCTCGTATTGTGGATGGATTATCTCAGTTGTTTTCCTGACTGAAGTTTGGTCCATTTAGAGCAGGGGTGGGCAATTCCAGGTCCCGAGGGCCGGTGTCCCTGCAGGTTTTAGATGTGTCCTTGAACCAACACAGCTGATTTAAATGGCTAAATTAGCTCCTCAACATGTCCTGAAGTTCTCCAGAGGCCTGGTAATGAACTAATCATCTGATTCAGGTGTGTTGATCCAAGGTGAGATCTAAAACCTCCAGGACACCAGCCCTCGGGGCCTGGAATTGCCCACCCCTGATTTAGAGCATCCTGCCATGCGATTGCATTTGTCCCTAACCATCAGGAACCTTCACGTTAACTTTTATCGAGTGGAAAAAAACTTAGCGTCCATTATGTGGTTATGTTATGCTAACATAGCTGTGTCACTACAAATGTCACTGCTGTTTAGTTTTCTGTCTTCATTTATGTTGGAAGTGATAGCAGAGCTGTACGTTTTAATTTTTTCAGAAATCTCTCAGTCAGAACATGCTATATCATGTTTAGGTAACTAGCGAAACTAGCGAGCTAACTTCCGCTAAATTCTAACTCTGTTAAATTCAATAAATTCTGCTTTCATGGATGCCTCATTCTCCGTTGCCGCCATGCTTTTTCGGCCATGTGCATATGAAAACAAAGGCACTGCGCATGCACGTTTTACCCATATTCTATTGCAATATTTTATTTTCTTATTGTTGCATAACATTGTACCGGTATTACTGTAAAGGGTATAATATGGCCCAGCCCTACGAAAAACCCTACTGCTGTGTGTATTGTCTTTGTTTGTATGTGGCGTTCCAGTACCTTTGGTAGAGAGCAGTACCGGAACAGCTCAGGATCCTCCTGAAAGTCCTGCACTTTTGAGACAGCTCTCTGATCTGGGACAAACTCGGACTTTGCTATAGCCACGTCCCTCATCACCACCAGACCGGGAACCTTTATTTCCTGTCGACAGATCCGTTCAAACTCCCTCCTGAAGGAGGCACCAAAACACACACACACAACAGTCAGGACGGAAACATGTCTCACAGATGTTCTATTGGGTTTAGGTAAGGTGAGTATGGGGGTCAGTCAATGGCATCAACTACTACATCCTCCAGGAACTGACTGTGCACTCTCACCACATGAAGCTGTGCACTGTCATTCACCAGGACAAACCCAGGACTTGCTGCACCAATGTAGGGTCTGAGACTGAGTCCAAGGATTTCAAGGATGCTGTTGCCAAGCCTGTAGGTCTGTGTCCCTTCATGGATTTGCCTCCAAAGACTATTACTGACTCACCACCAAACCGGTCATGCTAAACAATGTTACAGGCAGCGTAATGCTCTTCACGGATTCGCCAGAGCATTTCACGTCTGTCACATGTGCTCAGAGTGAACCTGCTCTCTTCTGTGAAAAAAAAGGGTGCCAGTGGTGGACCTGACAATTCTGGTATCTTATGACAAATGCCAAGCAGTGAGCAGTGAGTGCAGGGCCCACTAGAGGACATTGGTCCGCCCTCATAAAGTCACATTTCTGATACTTTAGTCAGAGACATTCACACCAGTAAACAGCTGGAGGTCATTTTGTGGCTCTGGGAGTGCTCAACCTGTTCTTCCTTGCAGACAATGAGCAGATACTGGTCCTGCTGATGGGTTAAGGACCTTCTACAGCCCTGTCCAGCTCTCCTAGAGTAACTGTCTGTCTGTTGAAATCTCTACCATGATCTTGAGACTGTACTGGACTGCAAAACTTCAGGCAATGGCATGTATTGATGTTCCATCTTGGAGGAGTTAAACTTCCTATGCAAGATCTGTAGGGTCTCCCCTCATGCTGCCAGTAGTGACACTGACCCTAGCCAAATGCAAAACTAGTGTAATAAAAACAGTCAGATGAGCAGGTAAAATGTCACTGTCCTCCAGCTGTAAAACTGTGCCTGTTTTGGGGGTTGTCTCACTGTTGCTCCTCTAGTACACCTGTTGTTAATTTCATTAACACCAAAACAGCTGAAATGGAATAACAACCCCTCTGCTAATTAAATGACCAGATCAATATCCCATAAATTTAACTGACTTGATTCTACACTCTGATTAAAGTGTTCCTTAAACAGTCACTGTAAAATTGGTAGATTTTCCTATGGCCAAACTTTCACATACTGAGTACAGTGCATGTATGAATAATCTCCAAGAGATAAAACGATCAGCCTTTGGACCGCTGTAAATATTTAGTTTTCCTGCTTATGAAAGATCAGGTATCCTTGTCTACCTTCTGTACGAGGGCCAGCCAATCAGAAGAAAGCTAGCTCAAAGGGGATGAAAGCTAAAACTGATTGAAATGATGGGGGATCTGCCAAAGGCTGGCATAAAATAAATAATCAATATTTTGAACTGTAACCTATTCAAGTAAAAATAATTATTTTATGTGTTTGTGCTTTTTAAAAAGTACTTATTTCATTTATTATTTATTGCCAAGTGTCTGATGTTACCTGAACCTGTCGATGTCCTGCTTGGACACCAGATTTCTGATGAGAAGGAAGCCATTTTCCTCATAGAAGAGCCGCTGTTCCGGGGTCAGCAGGTCATTATCCAAAGTATACCTGCCAAATTGAAAAAAATAAAAATAAATAAATAAATAAAAAAGCTTGCCTTGCCTTTTGAGCCAATGGCACTGTGGCACCACTTGCTATTACACATGGAGAGCAGAAAAGTGGGACACTGTGGACCTGATCAATAGAAGAAACTGTGGGAAAGGTGAACGATAAACATGATTGCTGAGTGCATAAAAACCTTTAGCCCGAGGCGGAGCTTAGGTGTGTCCTTACCTCAGTCTCTGTGGGTGACCGTAGCTGACGGTTTGAGCAGACGTGGGCGCAGCTCTCTTCAGCAAATCAGTCAAGGATAACAAAAACAAAAAACACGGGGGAAATGTCTGCTATACAGCAGCGAGAGATTATGATTTATAGATTTCAGATCATTTCCAAGATTTTACAGTGAAACATTCTGCCTTTCTGCCAAAATATGTGAAAATGTCTTTTATGTGAAAATCTGCAATGGTGCTCCATATTAAAACCAGGGAAACCGACAACACTTTTTAAAAAAACAAATCACATGTATAAATTTGTAACTAGCTTATCTTTAAGTTGACCTACAGATAGACCTAACAGATTACACCTATTATTTAACAGGTTGATATAGACAATAATCCAATAACAGTCGTTTCCGAGCCCTAAGTAACAGTTATAAATGTCTCCAGCTAGCTAGCATTAAAAACGTTTATTGCAAATGATATGCAGTCCAAACAAACACACTTGTAGAGAAACAACGGCGAACACGAAAATAACTAGCGGTGTTAACAGCGCAAGAATAGTTACAGGCATTCAGCTCCTGTCCTGTCCTTATGTCAGTATTCTCCGGGAGGCCTGCAGTCCACCGCGGGTTCCCAGTAGCGGAGTATCAGTGTTATCGGGCGCTCACTGCTTCGCTATAGGCTAAGAGCCTCCAACGAGCCGATTTATCGCAAATACGAATAAAAAAAGATACAATCCCCGCAGGATGTCTGTCAAGATGGTTGATAATGACTCGGAGTCTCTCCAGAGGACGAGACATTTTCTGTCAAGTAGCAGTGCTTCGTGTCCTCTGTAAAAGTAGTGGAGAAGTGGGTTGTTGTACTTTACGTACCTCCGCTGACTGGGGCAAAGGCTAGCATGATGACACGCTCTGTGAATGTGCTGTTATGCAAAACACCTACAGTCGTTATGCATCCGAAAACACAGCCCAGTCATTATCACAACGCCGTAACAAGTTTAATAGAATCAAAAATACTTCAATGATTTGTAAGGGAAATTATATTTCCCCTCCTGTGACTAGACGAACGGATCCTTTAAAAATAGCAGGAATATCGCAAAAATGCTAATGGTGTAAACGGGTAAAGAAAAATGAAAACTCTATTGTAGAGTTCAAGCATTTTTATCCCTTTAGCAAACCTTTTCAGCTGTTAGTGAACGTTATTTATTGCAAACAACGGGATTTCATAAGGATTATTTCCAGCATCACTAGTAATTAAAGTTTTATCCAGCAGGGGGCGCCACACAACAATAATTATTCCCATCATTTATAATTTATGCTAATTTCGAAGCTGTTGAAACCCTGAGCGCTATTTAACCATTCCATCATTTTTGGCATCTTCAACAAACACAGACTATTTTGTAATAGAAGTTGAATCGATGAAATAATCGATCTACTCATTTAAAGACTGAAATGGACAGTGTTGCATTGTTATAGTGATGAGTTACAAATGAAAAGGAACGGTATGCCAACAAAACCTGCAGCTGACAAACTATACTGTACTTAACTTCTAGTTTTACCTACGAGCTAACAAACAAAAAAACACACAAAATAGCACTTAGAATGTATAATATGCAGTATGTATGTATGTATAGTTTTTGGTGTATGCGTCTATCTAGACGTTTTTCTTTACGTTTTTCAAGTCTATGATGTGGAAGATGTCTGTACAAAAAAACCCAGCTTTTAGTTTGCACACTGACCAGATAGACGTCACAGTGGCTTTTATTTTGGAAATTGCAATAGAACAGACCTTTGTTTTGAAATGTCAGCGGAAGTGCCATTATCGTAATCTACCTTACATGCTCGCACCCCTCCCGTCTCCGCACTCGACATCCTCCAGCCTCTTTAAACTGTCTCCGCTGCCGAAACAGAACGACTTTTTCGGGTTTCGGTCTGTGTCTGTTCGCCCGCACACTCGCACACCTTTCTGCTTGTTTCGGAGGATATTTCTTTCTCTGGCGGAGCGTGTGGAGCACAAACCGAGCACAGACGGAGCTGTGTTTCAGGCTACTTCAGTGGGCGGGTAAAGCGGAGGAGGGCATCCGGGCCTGGCAGCTCCGGAGGGTCGGCTTGAAAACGACGGAATTCACCATTTTCAGGTAAATTCGTTGATGGGTCACTTTCAGGTAACGCTCAATGAACAAGCAGGAGGCTAGGCTTCGCCCGGCGACAAAAGACGAAGTCTGAATGGTGGCCATTGGAAATGGCAAAACAGAGGAAACGGCAGCTGGAGAATAATACAGCCAGACTCTTACTGTAATTCATATATTACTGTTTACCCAGCGCCTTTATCCAGCACGATTATACGTGTTGTTTTTGCGACTCAAACAATATCTTATTTCACGGTATGTTTGTTTACATAACGTGGCTCAGGCATCGGCAGCCAGAATGTCACCAACGATAGAAAGCGAACTGTAGATTAAAGGATGAAATAATGCATCCTCGAAATCTCCCTAAATCCCAATGAAAACAGTATGGATCATTGCAGGTATAATGCAAGACCTGTACACAACATATTCATGTCACCCCAAACCTGCTCACAATACACTGTAGCTATACAATGAGGCTTCCCTTTAAAGGAGTAGAGGTGCATTTACCATCAACCGGCCTTTGACTTCATATAAGTGTGAAAGAAATGGCTTCTCTGCTACAGTCAGCGCCTTTACTTCAGCTTGTGCCACGTTTTTGCTGATGTGAAAGCACTGTGGAGCAAAGTTGGAATACAAACATTATGAAACTGAGTTAAATCCCTTAAAATAACCTCCAAAGAACTCCTGACTTTTACCAAACTGTGGTTGTTCCTGTCAAGTTATTTGAATACGGTTGAGACACGTTGCTGAAAGTGGAAGATAAGAGACATGCCCTTGAAAATAAGTATTATGGACTGACTGTGTTTAAGCAGACACAAGCTCAAGGGTATTTTAATCTAATGCACCAGGAACACACTGCCCTGCTGTTACCCTGAAAACAGTGACCTGATCTTAGGTACACTATTGTCCTAGAGTTTCGCCTTTTTTCTTCTTCTCCCAAATCGAATACAAAAGCATAAAAAACAAGCAATTACACAACTAGAAATCCAGCATAAATCATTTCAGTTATTATCACCATTCGATAATATTAGAGCTCTGCCTATATGAAAGTTTAAAATTTCTGATTATGAAATTAGAAAGACAGTTTGCATTGTTGAAAGGGAAATAGCTCTGCAGTATTGAGCACTTCTCACCCATCTTTGCCGGGAAATGCCTGTGATGCTTTTAGGCTCTTTTCTATTTCCCGTTTGACCTGCATTCAATTCCAGTGTCCTTCATCTGGAACAACTAGCTGTTCAATTATGTGTATTTGCGAATCTGCATGTGTGCGTTTTGACCCACATTCAGATCTGGGCTGCTGGCTGTGGGAACGATACACCCTGAGAGAGCGACATTAATTACCCCGACAGCTCCCACTCCATGCCTGTAGGCCCGTATAGCAGTGCACATATCGATCAGTCTCTGCATTGTGCCACGATTGTGGGAGGTGTATGTGTGTGCACACCCACTCTATGTTTCTCTCTTTTGCTCCTGGGACTGACACATGAGGATGTATATTATAATGATCTGTCTTCTAGAAGAATGTGGGATGTGTCAGTGGTTTCGGTCTGAGAAATCAAAGTGTCTTGTGAAGGACTTGTGAAGCAGGTGTCAGCGATTAGTTTGGAACTTCCTGTCAGAGCGAGTAAGTGACGAATTGGATCAGAGTACTAACTTTGGTGTAGAAGCAAGTATGAGATTGTTAGAACAAAAGGTTTATGTTTTGTTTTTTTCTTTTACCATTCAGAGTGACACTGGGCTGTGATTTAAATTTTTCTGTGTCATATTAAAATCAGACAATGTGACTTTGCAGGTGGTTTCCCACATCTCAGAAAAAAATCCTAATGAGATCATCGGGGGATATCCAGTCTTAGCTTAGACAAAAAACTGAAAGGACAGAAAAAGACATGTTTGTGTCATTGAAAACATTACCTTAGTATGGGGTAAACAGCTGTCTCCCTGGTGAACAGCTGTACAGCTCTCTGTATCTGCTATCTGCAATTTTAACTTGAATCAGTTAGTTTTTGCCTGCATCACTGCCGTGGCTTATGTTATGGAGCTCTATATTTTTATTCTACCAGGGTAGCTTTGAGTGATTTACAGGTCAGGACGGTCCTTACTTTTCTTATACTGTGCCTTGATGCAGCACTTAGGATACATCCTTTCTGAACCAAAACATTTTTTTTAAATTCTCCATTGCGTTAACCCAGCTTTTTTTTCTGATTGGCTGCCACATTTAAACAGAAGGTTTGAACAGTAGGTGAGTGGGGCTTCTGTCCTTACGGCTAGATGTGACCATATTAGGGACCTGCTGACCATTAACATAGAGCAGGGGTCCCCAATCCCAGTCCATGAGGGCCGGTGTCTCTGCAGGTTTTAGATCTCACCCTGGGTCAACACACCTGAATCACATGATTAGTTCATTACCAGGCCTCTGGAGAACTTCAAGACATGTTGAGAAGGTAATCCCAGTCCACCGGCCCTCGTGGACTGGGATTGGGGACCCCTGACATAGAGTTAAAAATCTGAATGTCTTAAACACAGCAGTGGGAGCAGTCTGTAGCCGTACAGGGATAAATTATACATACACTGACCTTAATATTTTAGATTTCTGAAATCTGTAATCTGAGCAGGAACTGCTGTAAGAGTATAAACATAACAGGAAATAAGGAAAAGCTCAGTAGATCCACTGTAACTGCCACAAAGTATTTAGGAAAATATGTTATATTCCATCACATTTTAACTTAGCTGCTGCAGTGATGTAGATGATAATGGCAAGAAAATCATCAGAAAAGTGTTTTGTTTGTTTTTTTTCTTCTTCTTTTTACTCGTTAGTTTTTCACAAAACACCTAAATGTTTTGTAGGAAGAAGTGAATTAGCGAATGGTGGCTTATAATAATGGTGGCAATATCCCAACATGCTTTGTAGCCAAGCAGACTGCACTTCCAAAACACTGTTGCTATTGACAACCAGTCGAATAGCTTTCTCTCTCCCTCGTCAAAGGAGCTTATAAAGAAAAGCGTCTGGACTTCTTTAAGTTGCATGAAGACGTTTCACCTCTCAGCCGAGAAGCTTCGTCAGTTCTAAGGTCAAATGGCAGAGAGTCCCAGATTTAAACCCAGTGGGGGTATCCCCCCCACAGAGGGACAAA